GGTAATGTTGAAGGCGCTTTTAACATGGAGCCATAGTTAAGGAAATTATTTTGTAATCTTACAAACTTCCTCTCGTTCATTGGTGTTAATTCAGGATACATTTGGTTGAATTTTCTACAAGTTCTGGCAATGATTTGATCACACTGTCCGTGTATAATAAATAATTTCATAAGAACTTCGTTTGAATAATCAATATTTGCATTCATTTTTGGCGATTTTTTGAAACACCGTCAACAACCATTTATCAATTACTTATAAAAATAAAGTAATGCCTGAATAAAACTAACTCTCTCTTGATAGCGAATCCGGACCTGAACTCTTTCCATTAGTCATTGCGACTATCCAGGCTAGGATATCCAATCCTTTATCGAATAGTATCGCCAAAATATCTAAATAAGTATTTGCGAAGCCACTACTTGATTTGCATACCAGGTAATACATTCACGTCATAACGAACTTAACACCTACGCTTCTTGTATAACAAGAAAATGACATTAATGAGACTTCGGTATAAGATATATAATAGAAGATTGGATTCGAATTGGAGTTGGTAGTTATAACCCACTGTTCTTCTACAGACTGTAAACAAGTGTTCTCAGTTAGTGATAGTTTTTTCTGTGATATACTCGACTAACGTGTTCAAAAGTTTCTGAAGGTAATGTTCACATTTCTAGTCGTCAAACTGTTAATTATAGCACAATGATACTGTTAAAAAACAATGTATTTTGGCTGAAATGGTACTGAATTGACAGAAATACACTGTTCAAGAATAAATAACCTCACCTAAACTTCATTACTATGATTCGATGAGTTTACTGATTAGACATACAGGGCGGACCATCGAAAACGCAGTGCATAACTGCCAGGAAAAAATTTCGAAACTTTCATCCTTTCAAGTCATCCTTGAACTGAAAATCATTAAAAATGGCTTTTGATTCTCTATCCATTGATGCTTCGCGTTTGTAAATCAATAAAATGCTTTTAGCTGACAACAATACCTCTCAAGAATGTGTCCCTGCTTGAAACCTAGATAACTCAAGTCGGGTGACCAAAGAGGCCACACAAGTCCATCTGATCGTCCTATTCCTATAATAATAGTTCATACAGTTATATATAAAAAGTGATTCCACTTAAGTCTCGCTTGCTTTTACGCAGTGATTTTAATCAAGTACTCTCATTGGTTTTTCATAGTTTGACTTCAATCGGGGACCACCTGCCCGGTACCGGTGATGCCCAAAAAGCTGAGATCAAATTGAGATCAAACTGTGAATGATCGGAATTGTACTCATGTATTTATCTATTCATTTTCATGGAATATTTTGCGCCCTAGTCTTGAAAGTATAAAAGCTGTGCCTGTTCTTTAGGACAT